ATTGTAATTTTATCTATTTATAAGTATGATATTTTAAAATATTTATTTTATTTATAAATTAATATAATAAATATTAATTATTTTATTAATTATTAACTCTTTTTAACCATAAAAAAATTCACCAATTTTAATAACCCTATTAAATTTAATAGTGACCATAATCATAGTCTAAGTTACCGATTATAAATACATAGCCAAGTGTATGATACTATTCAAGATATGAAGCTGAAAGTTTAATCCACATTATAAACGACAGTTGATACAATACAACCACTTGAAAATCTTGGAAACCTAGAATTTAATGGAAACATCCGAAGCTGCATTGCAAGCCATTCAAAATCCAACAAAAGGTACTAACTAGGATTTGCAAGGAGAAGGGCTAAACAAAAGCGGGATTGAAACGAAATTTCACTGAAATACCATCATCCATCCTTGCTAACCAAAAACATATACATTTCAGCAACAGCTATTAGTATGTGCAAACTAAAACCTCCCAAAAGAAGTCTGCTTTACATTGCTCTGCTAGTCTGAATCAGCCTCTAAATCATCCTCTGAATCATCCTCTGAATCAGCCTCTAAATCATCCTCCGAATCATCCTCTAAATCATCCTCCGAATCATCCTCTAAATCATCCTCCGAATCATCCTCTGAATCAGCCTCTAAATCATCCTCTGAATCATCCTCTGAATCCTCTATTATCACCTCCTCAGCTCTGCCATCAAATGCACTATCATTCCCAGGAGAAACAAGACTTTCCCAGCAAACAAAGAAATTATTGTAGGGTGGACAACCAGGGAGCCGAAGAAACTCCACCCTTGTTCTTTCTTGGTTTTCAAAGTTATACCAATAAACCAAATTTCCTCCATTAAGCAGAATGATATCCCCCTCTTTTGAGTATGCCAAAGGCAAAGGCGCACTCAACATAACATTCCCCTCTTCCTGAATAGTGAATTCTTTCCTCCAACCACCACCTGCAACCTCTCCACCATTATCCCTCACACGCAAGTAATATTCTATACTATTAGGCTCATTGCGTATTACAGGACTATAGAGGTTACCTCCAAAAACCACAAGATCATAGTAGATGGCTGTTGGGCCACAATCAGACAATAGTGTGAGGCTAAAGAACACCTCATTTGTGATATCAAAACCAACACACTTATCTTTAGTTTCCCAGTACAGAGCACCATTTGCATATAGCCCGACCCAGGAGGTCCGTTCATGCTTCACATCTTGAATCCTCCTCCAAGAATTAGAATTCAGACTAAAAACCCAGACTTGATAACAATCATCACCGTCATTCCGAACCCTTGAGATCATCACAATCTTATAGTCATTGGTGGCAGACACGTATCCTAAACCAAAACACGTATATCTTTTGAACCCAGGATTAGTTTGGACCGGACAAGGGGGTAATTTCTTATACTTCTTAGTGAATGGATTCCACAGGGCAAAGTCCATGTTATCATCCTTAACATAAATACCCAGCAGAAACAAACCATTGCAAGAACCAAATACCGAGGTGCAGCGACGCGAAGACTTCAATGGGTTGTTGAGTAGGTAGGTATCGTCGAGGTTGCCATCAAACTCAGCATAATAGAAATCGGTGGTAACCGTGAAATCTTCGTTGTTGATGATTAGCTTTTGGCCGGTTTTGCTCTGGATTGACCTATTGAGATGATTCTTGGCGAAATCTTGGCTGTCAATTTCAGCACAATGTGATTTAGAAAGGCATCTGAACCGCAGAAGAGACGTCACTGGGAGGCGGAGGAGAACGTCGGTGACTAGGTCCGGCAGCAATGGAGGCATTTTCAGGCTTTTTCTTGATTCTTTTTTTTTTTTTTGTTTGAGGCTTTTTCTTGATTCTTGTTTTTGACCTTTGCTCTGTCAGACTCAAACCGTATAAACCCTTTTTGCAGGCGCGGCTGAATAGTAAAATTTTCATTTTAATCAGCATTTATTAATAATAATAATAATAAAAGATTGTCCAAATTACTTTTAAAATATAAATTAAGTTTGTAATAAATATTTTTTAATAATTAATTTATATAAAAAATAATAAAAATTAATTTTTATTTTAATATTATTATCATTAAAATAATATTAACTAATTAATTAAATTTAAATTAGTTTTTATTATTTTTATATAAATTAATTATAAAAAA